GGATCCTGCTGCCCAAAGCAAGCCTTCTCCCTCCCTCGCTATGGACATCCTTCATCCTTCTGGCTTGGATTTGCCCCAGCCCTGGTTTTCCTGAGTCTGTAGCAAGTGCTCTAACATAACAGTGTTGGGAGGACATTAACTTTAGAAGAACTGAAATAATAGTGAAAGAGCTGAGTCATGAGGGGGGATGTTGGGCAGATTTGGGTAGAGGTCTGCATAAAAGGCAAATGAGCAGAAGAAGCAAGGCAGGAGAGAGTAAGTGAAAGGTGAAATTAAATGTTTGTGGAGATAAACGGAAGCAGCTCTGTGTCCCCAGCAGTGAATTGTAGCGATCAAAAGGAATTATAAGGAAATGCAGGTAGCAATTAAAAAAACCCCCACAGGCCTGGGGGCAGTGGAAACCTGGCAGGGCAAGGCAGAGGGATGAGCGCTGTGGGGGTTAGGCTTCCCAAGTTGCTGAAAGCCATCCTGCAAACTGGGAGGGGAAGACATTGCCCTTAGTGGTGGGGTGGAGGCTCCAGGATCTGCTCTGTGGGGCCATCATTTCTGTCTGGCAATGGATGGGGGCCATGGTGGGGCAGGGCCAGCCAGGACAGGGTAGCTGGCAGAGGCAAATCAGGCTCAAAGCAAGTCAGGACAAGGAGCTGGTGCCACTGCTGAGGCAAGTGGAGGGTCTTCAGCCAAAATATCTAATTTTGGTTGTTACCAAAAGCAGAAAACACTTGAATAAAACTGTTTTGCTCAAGGAAAATGGAAAAGTAACCACCCTATCTCCTTTTCCTTCTTTATTTTGTCCCTGCCAGCAAACATGCCTATGGGAGATTGGCTGTGACCTACTCTTTATTCCACCGCCTTCATGGGAGAGCCTAGCTTGGGATGAACAGCCTGTGGGACTTGATCAGGTTGGGTTGAAATAGCAACTGTTCTGGTTTGGGCTGCAATATATACCTTTTTCTTGGTATTAGAAAACAACCAAGCATGCAGCCCAGTATGTGCTGTGGTCGACTGTTGGAGGAGTGATTACTTTGCTTAAGCTCACATGAAATGGTGAGAATTGAGGGGGGTTTTATGGCTTTGAGGCACTAACCACCACAGAACAGCTCCTGGGACTTTCCATGCCAGCATGGCGGAGGCTCTGCATTTTCTGGGTCACGCCAGCTTCTCCTGCAAGTCCCAATGCATGGGGACAAGACCCAACCAGGCTTGCCGTAGTTGGAGGAAAAAGTTGATGTTTTCTGATAGAAAATATTTCTGAATTTAACCCTCAGCTGTCTCCACTGCTGCCTGCTTTCCTGGTGCCTTGGACCCCTCTTCCAAGTGTGTGGGTGAGGGATGGACACGGAGCTGGGAGCCAGCATGAGGGCTTGTGGGGTCTCGGTACTGTGTGTGTGGTTCTGCCCCAGAGCTGGCCTGCAGCCTGGCTGGCTGGCTGAGCAGATGGAGGCTGTACAAGGTGAAACATTGGGAGTTGCCACCCCAGCTGAAACTGGAACCAGGAAGGAGCTATCATTCTCCTTCATGTGCCTAGTGGTGTGGCAGGCACAGGGAAGCTAACAAAACAATTGCTCCTGTCCTCTAGGTAGTCCACAGCTTGCAGGTAAATTATGACCTAGAGGTGGTGCCCAGGCCCAGCACAGTGGGACAGGACAGCAAAACTGAAATGGAGGGGAGGGTGTGAATCACTGAGTGCTGTGGGCTGGCAGAAGCTGGGAAGATGGCTGAGATCCAGGGCGATGCTGCCCACAGTTGGTTGCTGCCTTGCCCCAGCATCAGGTGTTAAGACTTGCCTTGCTTCAAAGAAGCTGCAATAGAAAAATGCTTTTGCAGGTAAAAGAAACTGTCTTTGAACAAAGTTGGGGGGGGGGGAGGGGGAGTTATTGGCAAGTGTGGTATAGAGCCTTATCTGTCCCTTGGGGAAATTTTTGTTTCAGAGAGGAACGACTTCCAGAGGAGAGGATAACCTGTGGCACTTCAGGCTCCTACTATTTTATTTGGTGGATTTGTACCTAGAAAATGGAGATCTCATTCATGAGTTCAGCTGTTTTGGGAATTATGGACACAGCGATTTCCCAAGCTGTGGGTGCCCTCCCTGTCATAAAGCAGCACTTACAGTAGCCTTTTAGGAGTCCACTACAGAGTCTAATCCTCCCATACTCAGCAGTCAAAAAAAAAAAAAAAAAAAAATTAGGTGGAGTGCCTGTTCTGGTCCTCCTACTGTCTTTGTTGCCAGATAGCTGGAGCTTGCCCTCCCTGCTCAGCTTGACATCTGTGGGCAGGGAGCTCATTTGAAACAGCTCAAAACCAGCTGCTTCTTCACATCTCACTGTGACAGCTTGGGAATGTGGGGAGAAAGAATGAGGGGGTAAGAAAAGCCCCTTCTAGGGTTTGGGGCTGATGTGACCCATGGCCAGGTCATACAGGAGCACGAGGAGGAAGAACAAATGCATGGACAAGGAGTCAAACCCACTTGTAAAGGAGTACAGAAAGGAGAGGACCAAGCAGAGAAGAAGCCATGGCTGCTCCCCCAGGCTATAATCATTAAAGAATGTCCTGTTGTAAAAACCAAAATCGTCACACCAGCACAAGCCATGAAGCCAGAAGTTGATTTCCATGATATATCTATTTCTGGCTGCCACCTTTCCTCTAACTGGCAAAATGGAAGATAACTTGGACACCAATATTTTACACTCGCACCCCAAGGGCTTAATAGACTTCCTTGGTTCTGCTCAGGTTCTGGCTTGCAGTGTCGTTTGTGCACATATGAAAGAGTAGCAGTGGAGAGTAGTCTGTGCTCTTGAGAAGTTGTGAAAGCCTGTCTTGACAAGCCTGTGGCAGGGTGGGTACAGAAGGACACGGTGACGTTGAAGGTGTGCCATGGGGTGCATGGGCAGTTAAACATGGTTGGATGACAATGCTTCCCCCAGCTTGGCAAGGTGCTGCTCACTGTCATCTTGGAGCTGCAAGCAGGAGTCAGCAGTGGGGAAGTACACCAATATAGTGATAAGGGACAGGCTGCCAGACCAGAGCAAGCACCCAGCAAGCACCCAGCCTCAGCTCAAAGGTGCTCTGAGATGGCCAGCATGGTGCTCGGGGCAAGACAGAGCTGTGAGAGATGCCCAGGGCCAAAAGCACCACAGAGGAGGACAGGAGGTGTTGACCCATTGTGCAAGGTAGGGACAATCACTTGCTTCTGCCATACTGCTTCTTGCCAGCCTGTTAGCACTGCAGCAGGGCCAGCTTGGTTTTCTTCCTTTCCAAGGGCATTAGGAAGGTACTGCCATTGGGAGCACCCTTTGCTCCCTTTCCCAGGAGCCCTGGCTGTGGGATCAGGGTGGGTGGTTCCCCAGGGCTGGTGGCCCAGGGATGCAGCGGGCAGCACTCCCCTCATCTGCATCTGTGATGAATGCACTTGCTGGCCTTTCCTCCCACCTCCTTGAAAGCTATCAGTCGCTGGCCCGAGTCACCATGACAACATTCCAGGGTAAGAAGTGTCTGAGGAAGCCAGGACAAGTGGGGAGGGAGGGCAAGCTTCTAGTAGGAAAATGCCTTTAGTGATGAAGAGGTGCTGTTGCACACACAAAGTGTGCATACAAATATCCGAGTTCAACCACTCTTAAATTTTTGAAATCACTCTTAAACTAAGTAGTCCTCAGCACATGCTGATGGCAGCACATCTTGTCCCTTTTTTGGCAGCCTTCAGTGTGTGTTGGGTGCAGGTTCTCACATGGGCTCAGTGACATGCCTAACTGGCGTACGTGGCAACTCAGCCATGTCCTACAGCCACCCAGAGGCCAGAGGCCAGAAAAAGATGAATTCCACCCCTATGGCCATAACTGAACTGGAAGACATCAGCAATGCTTGAGTCATCTCTCTGGCTGCTTGTGGGACAATAAAGGAGTGAAGGAGATGGTCTTTGCTCCATTAAGCTGGTCCTATGCTGTAAGCTCTTTAGTGGCTTGGACCTGCTTGGTGGACCTATTGCCAGATGAGGTGGTGGGGAGTGGAAGGTGGGCCAGCAAGTTCCCTCTGCCCACTCTGGTGTCCTGGGCTGCCTCCTGCCCCTTCTCTGTGCCCGGCAAGGGGGTGCTGGAAGAAAAGACCAACCCTCACCTTGCTACAACCTCCTTTCAGGCAGTCATAGAGAGTGATAAGGTCTCTCCTGAGCCTCCTTTTCTCCAGGCTAAAGAATCCCAGCTCCCTCAGTCACTCATCATAAGACTTGTGCTCCTTTTGACCCTTCACCAGCTTTGCTGACTTTCTCTGGACATGCTCCAGTACCTCAACGTCCCTCTTGTGGTGAGGGGCCCAAAACTGGACACAGGATTTGAGATGCAGCCTCGCCAGGGTCAAGTATAAGGGAACAACCACTTCCCTGGTCCTGCTGGCCACACTATTCCTGATACAGTCCAGGATGCCATTGGCCTTCTTGGCCACCTGGGCACACTGCTGGCTCATATTCAGCTGCTGTCAACCAGCACCCTAAGGTCCTCTGCCACCAGGCACTTTTCCAGCCACTCTTCCCCCAGCCTGTAGTGCTGCATTGGGTTGTTGTGACCCAAGGGCAGGACTCAGCACTTGGCCTTCTTGAGCCTTATACAGTTGGCCTCGGCCCTTTGATCCACCATTGCACCGATCTGTGCAAGATGGTATTCCATCTTCCTACCATCCTACTCAGCCCCTGTCCACTAATGTCCTCTTGTTCCTGCCAACTCTATCAGTATCTCTCGACAACACATCATCGAGCGCATTCTCCTCCCGCCAGAGACCGGAGGATGCTTCCCCTCCACCCCTTCCGCATCTCCCACCGCCCCGCCGGTGCCCCGTCCCCAGTGTCCGCAGTGCCGGTGAGTTGCGGGCGGTTCGGCCGCGCTCGCCCTCCCTGGCGGCGCGCAGTGCCCGCGTGTGGGCGGGCGGCCGGGACATGCTCACTGGGGAGCGCCGCGGCCGCACATGCTCACTGGGCGCGGAGGCACCGCCGGAGGTAGGGGCTCGCTCCGCCGGCGGAGGAGCCGCGCTGTCGCCCCGGCCGGGCCCGGCATGGCCCGCCGCCCGCTGCCCGGCCGCCGCCGGCGCTGAGCGCGGGGGGATCGCAGTGTCCGCCGGGGGAAAGCATCCTCCGGTCTCTGGCGGGA